CCCCGCCCTCCCCTCCGCGCATGCGCGCTGCTACCGCCCGCCTGCAGGGCAGCGACGCTGGGGGGCGCCAATGGGGCTGTGGGGGGTAATGGGAATACTGGGGGTAATGGGGGAAAATGGGGGTAATGGGAATACTGGGAAAACAGGGATAACGGGAATACTGGGGGGTAATGGGGGAAAATGGGGATAATGGGAATACTGGGATAATGGGGGGATAATGGGAATACTGGGGTAAATTGGGGTAATGGGAATACTGGGAAAACAAGGATAACGGGAATACTGGGGGCAATGGGAATACTGGGAAAACAAGGATAACGGGAATACTGGGGGCAATGGGAATACTGGGATAACGGGGATCATGGGAATACTGGGGGTAATGGGGAAAATGGGAATACTGGGATAATGGGAATACTGGGGGTAATGGGGAACATTGGGGTAATGGGAATACTGGGAAAGCAGGGGGATAATGGGAACACTGGGGGATAATGGGAATACTGGGATAATGGGTAATGGAAATACTGGGGGTAATGGGGGAAAATTGGGGTAATGAGAACACTGGGATAACGGGGGGATAACGGGAATACTGGGGAGTAATGGGGAAAATTGGGAAAACGGGGATAATGGGAATACTGGGGGGTAATGGGGGAAATGGGATAATGGGGGGATAATGGGGTGTAATGGGAATAATGGGTGGATGATGGGATAATGGGATAACTGGGGGGTAATGGGAATACTGGGGGTGATGGGGGAACATGGGGGTAATGGGAATACTGGGAAAAGAGGGGATAATGGGGTGTAATGAGATAATAGGGGGGATGATGGTGGGATAATGGGAATACTGGGGATAACTGGGATAAGGGAAAAACCAAGAATACTGGGATAATAGGGGGATAATGGGGATACTGGGGTGTAATGGGGATGATGGTGGGATGATGGGAATACTGGGGGGTAATGGGGGAAAATGGGGTTAATGGGGATAATAGGAAAACCAGGAATACCGGGCTAAAATGAGGATAATGGGAATACTGGGGGGTAATGGGGGGAAATGGGACATAATGGGGGCAACGGAGGGCAACTGGGAGATAATGGGGCATACTGGGGTCATGGGAGATAATGGGAATACTGGGGGATAATGGGGTAATGGCGGCATAAGAGGGAGATAATGGTGGATATACGGGGGGATACTGGGGTCATGGGAGATAATGGGAATACTGGGGGATAATGGGGTAATGGCGGCATAAGAGGGAGATAATGGTGGATAACGGGACAGCAACGTGCCTAATGGGGGAGAATACTGGGAGCAACAGGGGGATAATGGGGATACTGGGGGGGGGAGAACTGTCAGGATACTGGGAGCACTGGGAACGGAGGCACTACAACATCGTGGGGGCACCGGGGCTGGGAGAAGGATAATGGGGACAAACTGGGACTGCATGGCCCAACTGGAACT